CGCGCGCAGCTGCTGCGGCCGCCGCCGCGCCCCCGCCACCCCCGGGTTGCCAGCGCCGGGTGAGGGCGCCTCTGCCCGAGCCGCTCGGCGGCTTTCTGCAGCTCTCGCTGCCTCGCCCCCAGTATGTGACGTGGGTGACAATGGCCCAGGTTAGAGCGAGCCCCTCGTCGGCGCGTCCTGGGTGGTCGGACCCGGGCAAACACAAATACAAACCGATTGCTAAGCTGCGGACAATGAGCGAAATGTAGACAAATGTCCCGCTCCCGTTGGAAGCCTTTGTCTCGGCCCGGTTTTTGCATTTATTTCAGTGGCGAAATAATACATGATTGACGCTCTCTTTCAATGTGTCCTAACTGTTTGGAATAAATCTAAGGTTGTTCCTAGTTGTCATGGCATTCAACGCTTTTCAATGGACTATCTCTTCATTCATTTCGGAATCCGTCCACAATATTAAGGAAACCCCTTCATGTCGACGCCCCCCACTCCTGTCTTTCTCCTCCTACTTTTTATTTTCTCTTTTCTTCCCCTTCGTCCCTTTTTTCCTCTGCACGAATTAGAAAGCGGTTTGAATCCTGTTCGTCGGACCTGTTCCTTTTCGCGTTTTTTCCTTCTCTCTTTCCAGTCTCGGTCTTTCTCCCCCCCCCCCCGTTGCCTCTCCCTCCCCCTTTTCACGTGGGAGCCCGTCGCCCTGCCCTGTCGGAGGAGGAGGGGACTTGCTTCTCCAGGAGTCGGGAAGCTCCGAGTTTGGACACAGGGATGGGGGTGGGCCTGCCCCGGCCATTGTGACTCAGCTGCTAAATAAATAACTGGCGAGAAAAAGTTCCTCAACCCAAGCATGACAGAAAAAACCCTCCTTTTGTTCCTCCTCTTGTTCCTCTGTCCTAAGGGGGCGGGGGGTGTCTCTTGGGGGCCAGGGCCGCCTCCAGGGGTGGAGACTGGGGCTAAAATGGAGCCTGGTGGGGCCAGGTCAACTCTTGGGATGGGTAGAAAAGGCATCGTTTGGCCAGAAGTGTCCCTTTTCCCATATCCCCAGAGCCCTCTTTTTTTTTGGGGGGGGGGGGGGTGCCCACCAGATGCCTTCCAGAGCCTGCTCATGTTCTCCTTTGGAGCCACGACTTCCATGTAGTTCCCAGCCTCTCCCTGCCTCCCCCAGCCTGGTGGGCTTTTCTTCTCTGAATCTAATCAGCGCCGCCACTGTTGGGCTTGTCCCCTCCCCTCACCCCTGAGAGCCTGCAAGGTGCGCAGAGCACCTGAGAGACAAGCGTTTTCCTACGGGAATTCAGGCTCCTGGGAATTAATCATGGGGACGGGAACTTCCATGGGCGCCTGGAGAGGGAAGCCCCCAGCCCACTTCACTAAAGCCGGGTTTGCCCCGCTCCTGCCCCTTGGCCTCAGCAGGCAGGAACCCTCTGGTGTCCCGCTTCCCCTGCCCCTCCGTCCTGTCCTCCAGCCTCACCCCAGCTTGGGCCTCGTTTTCCCCGCCTTTCCCTGGCCTGGAGAGAGCTTCAGCCTTGCCTGCGGCCGCCGCGCCCTGCGCAAGAACCCTCTGGTGTCCCGCTTCCCCTGCCCCTCCGTCCTGTCCTCCAGCCTCACCCCAGCTTAGGCCTCGTTTTCCCCGCCTTTCCCTGGCCTGGAGAGAGCTTCAGCCTTGCCTGCGGCCGCCGCGCCCTGCGCAACCAGATCCACGGCGCTCAGCCTCTCTCCCCTGTCCCCTCTCCCGGGACCTTGCGAGTCCATTTTCCCCATCGCTTCGTCGCCCGTGTGGTTCCTGCGTCCTCTTCCAAAGCGTTAACATTTGCAATTGAAAAGGCGCGGGGAGACCGCTGGGAGGCCCATAATTGAAGGGGAGAAACTGTGCTTGTTAGAGGAAGATCATAAAATGCAAGTCCCCCAGGAGCGGCCTGCGGAGCCGGGAGGCCAGCGCAGGCCCAGCTGGCGG